CCCACAATGCAGCGCTGCAGCGGGGTCTGACCTCGTGGTTGGGCGGGGCGACTAAAGTGACACAGCATGTGTACCGAAGTCACATGGGCTACACCGTCAGCGACCACAAGCCTGTTTCTGCCGTGTTCTCACTGGATGTGAGACAATGTTTCCTTAAAATATACGCTGTACTCAACTTTTGAATGACATCTCTCGTTGTATCGCTTGCTTACGTTTTATTCAACTGCCTTGTGCTCTATTTTCTAGTTCCCATTCAAGGTGGATATGCCTCTGGTGGAGCTGCAGTTAAACAAGGACTGGTGTAAAGTCTCAGATGCTTCTGTCAGATTCACTGTTGCATCGACTTATCAGCGCAGCTCATGGGACTGGGTAGCAATATACAAGGTAATTCTCTGATTGTTTTTGCTCAACAGCTCAGGGTAAATTCTTACAATTTGATGGCCGGCGTCAGTGTTTAAAATGATTTCCATTTGTTACTTCTGCGCAGGTTGGATTCAGACATCACAAAGATTACCAGGCATACATATGGGCCAAGGGAGAGCATGCAACACATGTGTGTCAGACACTCAAATTCACACATTTAATTTGTGCAGCAGCAGAATTCAGGGTTCATTTCTTTCCGTTCATTTCTTCACCAGGTGACATTTTCAGAGGAGGATTTGCCGAGAGATGACTGTGAATACATCCTGGGTTACTACAGTAATAATATGAACAGCATTGTTGGACTGTCAACGCCAATACAGGTAACAAAAGTCAGATCTCACTGCTTCTTATGATGTATTCATGAATGGATGTATGCACATATATGGTTGGTATAAGTATGTGAACACCCAAGCATTACAGACATATGTGGCTAAGAACCTTCACTCTTTTGGGAAGGTTTTCTGGGAAAGGTTTATTGGACCGGGCTTCAGGGACAAGAGGGTCATCTCTAGTTGGTTACCCTTAATTTCCAAAGCTCTTGTGAGCTGGTTGTGGTGAGGGATTTGACGTGGAGTGGTTGTGGTTAAGATAGGTCGTTGGGCAGCGAGTCACGTGAGAGTTGTCGTACGTTTCAGCAGACCTATGGTTATCTAGCAGACATCCGACCTGAAGTCATTTGTTCCAAGTCTCAAGCAAGTCAAGTCACTCCCCTAATACTTTGATGTAAGTCAGGGCTCTGTGCAGGCTTGTCACGTTATGTCACACCAAAACGTGAAAACCAGTGTGACAGGAAAGAACTGCCAGCAACCTCGCTCATAACACCCTTATCCTCTCTTGAATTCTCCATCCTAAACAGATCAACATTCCAGTCCACAGCCCCACCTCGCATCGCTCCGACTGCTCAGACGCCAGCTCAGAAGATGACAGCACTCTGGTTCTGCTGGCCCCAAACTCCCGCAGCCCGAGCCCCAAAACCGGAAAACACAACCATCGCCATCGTCGCAGCCGCAGCCCAGCTGTTTCTGCTCTCTCCACCAAACCCCTGCCCTCCCTGCAGGGCCTCAGCCTCTGTCCTCGCTCCAAAGAATGCCAGACTCGCAGCCGCTCCCCTTGCTCTGCTGCTAAGAAGGAGCGACTGGTCTCCCCCGTCGCCGTGGTGTCCCCCGCCATCAGCCCGCTCAGTCCCCGCAGCCCCGTGTCTCCAGGTGGCGGGGTGACTGCACCGGAGGCCCTGGTCGCTGCCATCTTAGGTGAACACAGACCAGCTCAGATTAGCCCCACAGGGGTGAAACAGATAGGGAAGATGGGGGAAACAAGCACTACATAGACTATAAACAACAATAGCGAAAAGGAGGCGCTGTACAAGGAGAACAACGGCAATATCCATGCATTAAGTGTCTGATCCCACGACGTCGCTGTGCTGGTAGAAGAAGCACATTCAGTGACTCCTCATGTAGTTTGTAAACATTCCACATCATAGCCATGCAGTTCTGTTTCTGAATCTACCATCATGGCATACACTATGTGTATCTTGGAGTCAAAGATGTGTCCAGACTCCCGACGCCAAGTGCTTTTATAGACTCATAAGCTATATCATATACGTAAACAAACCTGTTGAATGTGAAACCAAAGTCAGAGTAAACCTGTGACGGATGTGACCAGTGATTACTGACAGCAATATGGATCCATGTAGACAGTCTCATATCAAAGTAAGGACCCTGGACCAGACATATTGACGTAGTGTCATATTTTACATCAGCGAGAGTGTGTTTGTGTGTGTGTGTGGGTTTGTGTAGACCTATGTGTGAAACATGCATTTTGGACCAGGTGATGGTTTCAACTTTCAACTCTATAGTTCTTGGTCTGTATTCATAAAATGAATCGGATGTATCAAAGAACAGAGAGAGAGAGAGCATTTCACCACCTCAGTCAATCTGAAATGTACATGTGTCCGTGTGACTTGAACAGTAATCTTAGAACGATACTCTTTTCCTTAGCGGCTGTTCTATAGAGATCAGTGAGTGGGTGTTAAGGCTAATGTGTTCGTTTTGCTTCAAGAAAGATACGTGTCATGTGCTATGTTGTGAGTGTGCAAATAAAACTGAAATCAACAACAAAAAAACATGTTTATTTGAGAAATAGTGTGTATATGTGGACTCCAGTCATATAACGACACAGTATTCACTACAGTGTCAGCAGCAGAGGGAAAACAGCTTGTCCAGCATGAAATCATTGATATGCTGATGGCGTTTCATGCAGACAAATGCCATGAAAGAATTTGACAATTTTCGAATAGGAACAAGATAACAAACTGTCAATCTCTTGGAATATCCATGCAATTAGTTTAGACAGAGAAGATCTTTAGGTTTCTACTGAGACGTGGATAAGCATGCACAGTGTAGTGTTTGCCCTGATTTATGCTCTAGAAAATCTGAATAATCATTACAGACCCCCTCAAACAACTGCCACTAAGGGTTTTTTTTCCTCTCCACATACTGAGCAGAAATGAAGTTTAATTCCTATGACGTTTGGTAGTGAAGGAGTTGAATACTTATGTGAAATAGTGGGCACTCTCTTAAAATAGACAAAATATGAGATACGTTTACCTCTTTCGGCCCTTTACGATCCTTAAAATAAGCGAAACACTTGATACATGATACTTTAATGTTTGCAGGCCTGTGAAATTCCTCAAATAAAGTGAAATACTAGATGCCTTTATTTCTTCAAGCGTCTAAAAATCCCTACAAACCTTAAAATTAGCAAAATACTGCTGTCTTATAACTTTATATCCTGTCTATTCAGTTCTATTTGTGGCCTATCTTATCATCTATTTTCTTTTTTGCTTACTGGTTTTGAATGTCATCCTTGTCTTTGTCAATGTAAAGCATGCACTTGCTACACTGCCTTGCCTTCAGGCTCCAGAAATTCTTAAAGCAAACTTCTTAAAGCAAACATTGCACCTTGCACGTCTCTTGTGTAAAGTAAGTACAACTCACAATAGTCTCATGGACCCTTCAGGACTTTTAAAATCTTCTTCATGTTGCATTTGGGCTAACTTACAACAGATTACTGCAGTGTAACTGTTTTTCCAATTTATTAAAAAAAAATGTTTTATGTATTGTTTTTCATTTGGTCTCGCTTTTTAAATCTTTATTCTACATTAATCATTTTGTATTTGTTTTTATTGCTTATTGAAAGCGTTTATAAAACCAATTATTTGCAAAGCACTTTGAATTATCAAGTGGGCTTTGAATAAAGCTGCCTTGCTTTGCCTTCAGGCTGCTACAAAACATCCTCAAACAATTGAAATACTTGATACTTTCACCTCCTCAAGCCTCTCAGTCTGAGCTTGTGCAAAACACTTTATTCTTCCACTTTAAGGGCGGTGGAAGGCTCTAAATGTCTGTAGAATTGAGACAAATTCGAGAATGAAACATTTCATAACCTGTGATGATGCATCCGAATCAGCTTTATTGGCCACAAATGTGCACTCATACAAGTGATTTAACTGGTTTTATGTTGCTCTGTGTACATACTCAGAAATAGACGTGCAGCTTACACCCAAAACAAGAATATTTAATTTACATGTGGCATTTGTAAAAAAGTAGAACAAAATGGCATTTGCGTAATGGAGCAGAGTGCAAAGGGTGCTGGAATAAGGAGTAACGTAACAGGTTGTTTGTTTAAACAAGTTGTCACCCACTTTCCAAGTTACAATATTGATCAGCTTAACCCTTAATGACCCACAGTGACACAGTTGTCACAGACACTTTAAATCCTGCAAAGTTCCTTATACAGATTAATCATTGATTTTAACTCTTGAAGTCCCAACGTAACACACACTGAACATCCTGGTGAGGTCATGTGACAGTGAGTTAATTTGTGTGTGATGTATTTGTCACAATAAAATAATAAAATAATGAGCTGCTCAATTGGTTAACTGATTAAATTATTTTTTAATTAAAATATGTTCTGTTGGTGATTCAAAACACATTTAAACTAATGTAAACATTCAATAAATTATTAGTCAAATGTATTATGAAAGAATTTTTGCATATTACTAAATAAAATGCACAAACAAACAAGATTTAACTATCCTATTTTGGTCCTATTTCAAAGTAATTTCATTATTTATTTGTTTTGCAGTATGGATAAGAATGAACGATACCGTGTTCAGGATGCACTGAAGCTCATCCAAGGAGAAGGCATGTTTGTCATGTAAAACAAATGGTTAAACCTAACTAGAGAAGTTATTATGCAAATAAAAAGGAATATCTTTGTTACTAAACAAAAGGTTGATGGAATTTCAAATGAGGGAAACACCTATACGTAAACGGCTATTGTGACATATATAACATTTCACATCTTTGGCTCCAGGAGGTAGTATTAAGAAAATATTTTCAGAAATGTGTTCCATTTAGTCTGTTTTATATCTCCTATCATTTTCCTTTAAAGGAAAAATGGGTTTGTGTTTTGTTATGGGCTGCGGTCGCCGGATATTCATTTACCCCTCAGGGTCTTTTCTTAATTAGCTCGAGCACGCCCATGTGCACCACATGGTCTGTGCTCAGCAACAACATTGGCTGCAGAGAAAAGCCTCGAAGGGTCTGAAGAAGTTGTTCAGTCATACAAACACAGCTGTCCTTGTCCAGTCTGCACACTTGCACCCCTGTGAGCCGACACTTTGAAGCTACGTACTCGCACGGTGTGCGTGAGCAGGAGAGCCCCAGGTGAAGGCTGGAACAGCTGTCCGGTTTCTCCACCCCGTGGTATCTGAACGGCTAGCTTCGTTAGCTAACAGCGTGTTTATTGGCTAAAATGAACGGTTTCCATAACAACTCGCTCATTGATGAAGACTGCTTCCTCTTCACGTCCGAGTCCGTCGGAGAGGGACACCCAGGTAACTGCACGTTTCCCCTCTCCGCATATCATAATTAGCCAGATAGCATCATGTTAGCCTCTGAAACAAGGTCATGCTGCAGGTTACCGGTCGCTCAGCGTGTTGTTGAGTGTCAGCTGTCCACTAAATCCCTGCTCATCCTCTACTGTGCCTCTTGTCAAGTGTAAAGTGGGTCCACCTGGTGTGGAAGTCTCATAGCTGCATTTAATTCAGACTAGACACACTCTCACAAGAACCAGGTACTATTCACAGGCTGGGATATCGTTCATGTTTCTACTGTGGACGTTGAGTTGCACCGTCGTGCTAACAACACTGCTGCTAACTCGTTAGCGTGGTTGGTGCCTGCCACTCGCATATATAGCTCCACGCTGCTGCCCCGGCTAGCTAGCATACGGTGTGTGTATCACCTGTGATGGATGTGACTTTAAAAACATATGATGCTTTAATGTCCTCTGTTTTTATTCTGTCAAAAAACAATCGAAACCATGTTCATAAGTGAGTAATAAGCCTCATGATGCACAATTAAATAATAAAGTTAAGCTTAATAACTGCACTTTGACATAGAAAGCAAGAATCATTTGTAAAGTGCGCATTTGCCAGTTTATATAACTGAGTGTAACACATTCACATACTTCATGGTTGCGGGGTCTGAAGTGATCTCCACTAATTACATTCTTCTATGTGTCCCTTTATACTAGCACAGCGTGTACAGGATCAGCCTGAGTAGTTGGAATAAATATGGAGAGTTTTCCATTCAAGAAAAATTTAAATATTTGTGTTTGATTCATTTTAAGAATAGTTTAATTATATATTAACCAAACACATAATGCGTTTTCCAACAATGTGTGCATATTTATCAATGAGCAAAATTGACACATTGCCATGTTTGCATGTGTGTTTACAAGAATTCTGAAAAAAAGTTCTGGTGTGTTATTCCACAGATAAGATTTGTGACCAAATCAGTGATGCCGTGTTGGATGCTCACCTCAGACAAGACCCCGATGCCAAAGTAGCATGTGGTAAGTCTTTAGAAAGCAAAGCAGGCTGGGCGTTTATTATTAAGTATTCAATTACAGTTGCATATTTTGTTTTTGAGAAATATGTTCTGATGTATCCTATGGTTCCTGTAAGGTATAGGCCCATTTCAACCAAATTGTACTGGGAACTAGGGAGCTTCTGGAAGCACACTCCCCTTTGCAGATGTTCTATTGTTCTCTGATTTCATAGAGGAACATTTTGTAATGACTATGCTGTGCACACTTGAATACACCAGAGATAGAGAGGATGAAAGCTGGAAAGGCTTTTAGGTAAGGCAACTTTCCTGTTTGCTACGACAACCTGTTTAACCAGCGACAGCCTAATCAATGAGCGGTCAAAGCCTTTTAAGTGGAACAGTAGATGTCTTCGCCTCACATACTGCAGGTGAGTTGTTTTATGTCGTGTTGGACATCATGCAACATAAGCTGAAGCTGCAACATTTAGTCTATTAATCAATTGAAAGAAAATGAATAACCAATAAGTTTGATAACTGACGTGTCCTTAATTCCATTTCACCGCTGTGTTCTTAATGAGATATATATATATATATATATATATATATATATATATATCTCTATCTATCTATCTATCTATCTATCTATCTATCTATCTATCT